TGGTTCCAAAGGGAGTTGAAGTAGTAGTGAAAATCTGAGATACTACCAACAACTAATCTAGAAGTCTGAACCTTATCACAGATGGGTAAAGAAGAAGCTGTGAGATCAAACTGAATATTGTAGGTTTTCAAAAGCTAAGTATTAACTGTACTATCAAAATATAGCAATGAACATTTTATTACCATTTTTCTACTACTTCTTGTGTGGCTTGTTAAAATGAAGGAATAAAATACAAAATTGTTAATTAAAATATATAATTAATCATCATAAAAGATAGTGATTTACACCTTTGTGTGCTGCTACCCTTTAGCCTGATCCTGAGTAGGGCAGACTTCAGTGGGAATAGAGGACACTCTTTACCTTGCAAGATCAAGCTCTTACTGATGAAGAAAGATTAAGCAAACATGGTAGCTTACTTATGCTGTAGGAGATGCAAGCATTTGTGACAAAGTTCCTCCTCTATCTTGGTGGGTCCTGCACTTATTGGCGGATTTTCTTGCCTCAGAGATTCACCATGTGGGTTGGGGAACAACCCAGAGACCTTCCCCTCTGGAAGAACCCACAGTCCAGATCAATTGGGAGGTTTGGGGGGAACCCAGGCCCACCCTCTACTCCAGGTTCCAGCCCAGGGCCCTGTGGACTGCAGCTGTCTATAGTGCCTCCTGTAACAGCTGCATGACAGCTACAACTCCCTGGGCTACTTCCCCATGGCCTCCTCCAAACACCTTCCTTATTCTCACCACAGGACCTTCCTCCTGGTGTCTGATAACGCTTGTGCTCCTCAGTCCTCCAGCAGCACACCCTCTCACTCTCAGCTCCTTGCACCTCTTGCTCCCACTCCTCACACTCCCACCACAAACTGGGGTGAGCTCCTTTTTAAAACCCAGGTGCCCTGATTAGCCTGCCTTAATTGATTCTAGCAGCTTCTTCTTAATTGGCTCCAGATGTCCTAATTGGCCTGCCTGCCTTAACTGGTTCTAGCAGATTCCTGATTACTCTAGTGCAGCCCCTACTCTGGTCACTCAGGGAACAGAAAACTACTCATCCAGGGACCAGTATATTTGCCCTCTACCAGACTCCTGTACCCCACTGGTCTGGGTCTGTCACACATTATACATGTGAAAAGTGAAATGAAGCTTAGTTCATGAATAAGAAGAAACGAGGAAGTAATCAGTGGTTCTTCGACATACTGCTTAACAAATGTAGTTTGCATTGCAGTAGGTACTTAGAATGCCCAAACCCAGAAAATTTATTTAAAATATTTCTTTTTGAGACTTGTACTCAAAAATTATTTTATTAAGTAAATCTATATTTTCATAAGAGAATTCCCTGTCCCTTTATATTCCTGGGCAGAAACATGGGTGGAATTGTTAACATCTATATTGGGAGGTTAGAAAAGATTAATTTAAAAATGTGTTTCAGTTATGACAGGTTTGTATGTAAGGATGTTTTCATCAGGCACAAGTGTGATTGTTGGGAGGTGTTTAAGTAACCTAACCTCTGCCAAATATGCACATTAGTTAAATTTAACACCACTCAGGGCCTTATATTAGAGACAAGATCACAAAATGTTTAGCAATGTATAATTTTATAATAGATAGTATAGATTCATTAGAGCTAGGAAGGTCATGCTGGATGTATCTACTGGAATTCTTGTGTATCCTTCCAAGTAAGTGGTCTGAATTGATTGGCTGAATGCATATTGTCTGCATTTCAAAAAAATGTGATAACGCACCATGCATTAGATTGGTCTCTGAAGTCAGAGAGCATGGCATATGGGGGAAACTGTTAACAGAGTAATGTTAATGATCTTGACTCCTCTACTCATTTTTTGGCTTTGCCATGGGCCTTAAAAAGAAAGCTTATGCACGTTTTGCTTGATGCAGCATTCTGCAAATGTGCATGGATGAAAGCTCTTCTCATAAAAATATAAACTGTGTGAATTGTATTGGAAACAGCTTTTGCTTAAATTGGCATTTCTGAATCTCTAGCTGGTGACCACTATTTTTCTGAAAAGTGACATCATTTGTGACACCAACAATATTGGAACCTTGATCAGCGAGTACAAAGCGATCTCTACTGTGTAATTACTGTGATGTTGTAAATTTAAACTCAGCTGTTCAAATAAAAGTTGAGGGTGGCTTAGTATCTTAAGCCTTAGGTTTAGCATACCTAGACTTTGTAGCACCATAGATTCAAAACCCAGTGGTGGTAGACCTATTCCATTATTCCTTTAATGTAGAATTGAGTTTTATACAATTTGTTTTATGTTGGTCTTCTGAAAGAGACATGAAAAGCAGGTCCTGTCCACGCTGCAGGGCCATTATACACCCCAGGACATATTTTAATGAGTAGATATTTCTCTAGTGTCTTTGAGCAAAAATGGTTTTATCTCCCCCCCATTATGCAGTGTGCTGTGCCGCAGTTGGAGTCTAACCCAGACCTGAATGCATTTCATTGCTGCTATGTGTAGATATGACCCAAAAGTTACTGTATTGAGAGTATTAGATGAGGCAGGATTGTAGTATCACGTCTATAATTTGTAAAGTGTTTTGTGATTCCTTGGGATCAAAAGCATTATGTAAATATCAAATGTCATTATTTATTTTGTATGTATTCTGATTGTTTAAACTAGAATTAAATCAGAATAGAAATGATTTACCTTTATCTCTGACAAGTTGTTCTGATACTTCTGCTGTCATCAGTGATGTCCCTTTTCACAAGATACAGCCTCTGCCAAAAGGCTCAGAATAAATGAGTGTGACCCAGGCAATCAATAGAATGTTTGCTGCATTTACAGCAAATATAGATTCATTCTAAGAGGTTTGAGTTTTTTAACAGAAAAGCTACACTCTTACTTTAAAACTGGACTTGTTCAATGGTTCACATCTTAGTGGTCTTCAGTGGGACAAAGACATGGATTCATCCCCATACCTTGATTACTTGCAAAAAGATTTGCCTGCTGGCTGTTTTGCAGGTTATTGTCTGGTTAAAATTATATTGTGTTTATAAAGCAGAACTAATTTCCTGGTGTATTGCCAAAGATATATTAAAATAATTTGCTGAATTATTAAAAAGTTGATATACTGTAATTGGAATTGACTCTTAAATTCATACCAACTCCTTTACTGAAGGTGTGACACATGTATTCCATTCTTTTTTTCTCTCATTTCTATATAAAATTGCATTGTTCTAGGAGCATGTGTTCATTTTTTGCTTTTAATATTGGACCCCCAAATATACGAAGTCTCCTTTCTGACCCTGTCTCAAAGTTCTTATCTTTGCTGAAGTTTGATTTTTCATTCTGTGACCAACATTTTGTGTCTAGCAGTCACTTTGTGGTGGATGTGTGAAATGTTCCATTTTACTCAGATATCTGATAGGTTTCAGAGTAGCAGCCATGTTAGTCTGTATCCGCAAAAAGAACAGGAGTACTTGTGGCATCTTAGAGACTAACAAATTTATTTGAGCATAAGCTACAGTCTAATTCATCGGATGCATGTAGTGGAAAATACATAGATATTTACACAGGAAGATATATATATGCACAGAGAACATGAAACAATAGGTGTTACTATACACACTATAAGGAGAGTGATCAGTTAAGTTGAGCTTTTATCAGCAGGAGAGAAAAAAAAACTGTTTGTAGTGGTAATGAAAATGGCCCATTTCCAGCAATTGACAAGGAGATATGAGGAACTGTAAGGGGGGCGGGGGGAATAAGCATGGGGAAATAGTTTTACTTTGTGTAATGGCCCATCCACTCCCAGTCTTTGTTCAAGCCTAATTTAATGGTGTCCAATTTGCAAATTAATTCCAATTCAGCAGTCTCTCATTGGAGTCTGTTTTTAAAGTTTTTTTGTTGTAATATTGCAACTTTTAGGTCTGTAATTGAGTGGTAATCCACAAAAAACTGGTATAGGTTCAGCTACACAGGAGAATCAGCTTAATTGTCATTCGCCATCCTGATAAACAGTTTATAGCCTGTTCCTGCTCCCATTGAAGTAAGTGGGGCTGTATCTATACTTTGGATATTCTGAAATTCTCCCAGAGTTGCTCTAGTATTGGTGCTAGGAATGGTGGGAATGCTAGGATAGACCAGCTGCAGGCATGTTTACCACAAAGTCATCTTACCCTGCTTTCAGCAGGTCAGGATGAGACAATGGTAAAAAAAAGTGAGGTGGGTCTAACCAATGGGAGCGGCACCACTGCTAGACCAAGGGTTAGAGCATTTCATAAAATTTTAAATGTAGACATGGCCTGGGAGTGTTGTCATTATCTTCAATGGGAGCAGGCCCTTCATATGGATGATTGACAAAGAATAGATGTCATGAATGCATTTCAATTACTCTAAATAATGGATTAATGGCATGCCTCTTTGTGAAAGTCTATTTAAATTGTAGGACTGGGGTTGTCTGCAAGCCTATTTGCAACTGTTAGCAGGTGGGAACTGGTTTCTTAGCATTAATTTCCTGCTGCATGGCTCTTTGTTTGCTACATGTTCCCCTCCTGCGCTATTATGGCTGCTCAGTGGGTTGGTAAAGGCCGTAATGCTTTTAAGTACAATGCTTAATTTTTTTAACAATTTAGGAAATATGTAACTGTGTGCCATTACATAGCATTCAGAGGAGTCCCTGCTAGCCATAACTGGCATATGTTTTCAACAGGGTATGTCAATTATGTGGATTTTGCTTCTGTATAGACTGAATTTTTTAAGCCCTTGGGGCTAGATTGTGCGTTTACATCTGGTCCTCTATAATGAGCAGCCCAGGGAAAGAATTGTGCCTCAGAATGTCTTATCTGCTTTTCTTGAAACCACATGTCATTGTGACTTACTCTACACCTATGTAATTCCATTAACTTTTGTAGTTACTCCTGAGTTCCAGTTATAAGTTTCATTCTGCTTTAGTTACATAGCTTTGTTATAGTAAAAACATTGATAATTCATTTAGGGAGGACACAGGTACATTTCTTACAAGAGCATGTTTTTCCTTTCCCAGGTCCGCTGTGACACTGAGGTACAAGAACTGCGGCAATGGCAAAAGCAATTGAGAGAGGACAAGAACATTATTAAAAGAGTGCAAGAGTTCTGGACTAAACAGGAAAACAAAGGTAGGTTGCCCAAACCAGGGATTAAAGACTTTGTAATTTAAATGCTAAACATTTTACATGCACTCAGATGTATGTACCACAATGATAAACCGATCACAAAGGACAATCCAGGCAAGGCATAGGTTTTACTGAAATACTTTACTGCTCCTTCAGAATTCCTAGTTGCGTTTGTAACTTGAAATGCTAATACAAAATACAGTACTGGGCTAGATTCTCAGCTGGTGTAACTTGTCATAGTTCCATTGGCTTCAATGAAGCTATGACAAGTTACACCAGCTGAGGATATGACCCAGTATCTCTTAGGGCCCACTGGGCTCAGACTTCTCTACTAGATACCACCACATTTAAATACTGATGTTGCTAGCAGGGTTCTAAAATGGTTTTCCTGAACTTGAGGACTTTTCTGTCTGAGAACCATTATACTGGTGTTATTCAAATTTTATCCTTTGTTCAGTGTAGTTTATTTGTAGTAGAGATTGGCTGGCACAGTTCTCAAGAAAAGAACAGGGAAATTTTTTTCCAGGGAAATCATGTGAGAACATGACCTATGAAGGAAGGCTGAAAGAATTGGGTTTGTTTAGTTTGGAAAAGAGAAGACTGAGAGGGGACATGATAGCAGTTTTCAGGTATCTAAAAGGGTGTCATAAGGAGGAGGGAGAAAACTTGTTCACCTTAGCCTCTGAGGATAGAACAAGAAGCAATGGGCTTAAACTGCAGCAAGGGAGGTCTAGGTTGGACATTAGGAAAAAGTTCCTAACTGTCAGGGTGGTTAAACACTGGAATAAATTGCCTAGGGAGGTTGTGGAATCTCCATCTCTGGAGATATTTAAGAGTAGGTTAGATAAATGTCTATCAGGGATGGTCTAGACAGTATTTGGTCCTGCCATGCGGGCAGGGGACTGGACTCGATGACCTCTCGAGGTCCCTTCCAGTCCTAGAATCTATGAATCTATGAATCTATGTTAGAATGCTGCTGCTGATAATAATTGTATAACCAACTGTTTGATCCCACGGTGGACAGGACTTTACAAATAGGGTCAAAGTCTACCCTCCGTTTGTCTTCATATGTGCAAGCACATTCATAGAAATTAGAGAGCGATTAGATGGATCATGATCCCTGTGATCTACTGTAAAGTACAGATACTTTAGAACTGTTCATTTAGGGCTTGTCTACACAGCGCCATTGTAGAGCGTTCTAATGTGTTGTGCTCTAACTGTCCCATATCGACCCTGCTGGCGTGAACTGAAAGAGACCTAGTTCGCATTAATGTAGTTCTATTTGAAGCAGGACTACATCGGTGTGAACAAGGTACCTTTTTATTCATGCCAGCAGGGTGTACATGGGGCAGTTAAAGTGCAACATGTTCGAGTGCTCTACAATTCACACCTCCGTAGTCTGGACTGCAGTGACATGGTGAAAAAATGTGTTGGGAGCCCTGAGTTGGTTGTTGGTTAATTTAACTTTTCTCATTCCAATTCATGGAACATGCTTACATGGAGTTCTTTTTAACACAAGAAGTGAATGAAATAGCTAGAAATTCTGAACACAAGTTCCCCCGGATAAATTCGGGTAACTACTGGTATGTTGAAATGGAGATTTTTGAAGTCTGACCGTTTCACAATTAGTAATAGGGAAAAAAGTTCTGTTAGTTTCATTGTTTTATATTTAGCTGTTCTTTTTAATTAAATAGAGTTTATCATACTAATGTGCTTATTTGAAAACATAATGAGTTCTGGAATAAAAAGCTTGTTATTCTCAAGAAGTATCCCGCATCAGATATGACATTTAAAAACATCTGAATTTAAAGAGCATTTAATAATTTTATTACACATAGAACTTAGATTCTACTGTAAATGATTAACCACATGCAATTCCTACAATAACTGATATGAAACCGATATTGTCAAAGACCTTCTATAGCTATTGCTAATTCCAGAACAGTTCTGTTTTCCATAATACAACACATGCTATTCTATGAAGTTGTTTAATTATAAAGTAATCTGTGCTTTGTAAGTGGAATTTATAACAGTCAGGTCATTAATTTAATGTGCTGCAATTATTTTTTCACTTATGTTTACTCTGCATCCAATTTTTGTCCCTCAGTCATGAGCTTACTATCCTAGATGGATAGCATGAAAATTCCTTGCATTTTCTTCCTTGTGCTTGCCACCTGTGCCCTGAGATTTCACCTGTTTGTATCTTAAAATCCTTCCATGGGAACTTTAGCCTGAGGATGAATACTTGTGACAGGAAAATGTTCCTCAGAACATTGTCTTCTAAGAAGGCCAGCTCCATTCTCAGCTGTAAATGTCCATTACTAATGATTATCATTGTGACCATTGTGGTTACAATATCATTGTCATAAGCCCTTTGGTTCCAACTTTGCAGTTTAGTTATTTTCCTTAGTTATTTTCTTTGCATAATGCCATTAGTGTACTATGCATTCAGGCTCTGATCATGCAGGATTTTCCCATATGCTGGACCTCTGCACTTGGGTAGAACCCCATTGATTTCAGTTGGGCTCCATGTGGGCTCCTCTGTGGGATTTGTTGCAGGCTTAATGCCTTTATCATTTTTATAATGATGCTGAATATAAAAAAGTGATTGCATATATTGAAGAGTTCCTCATGTAACCGTATCTTAGATTCCCTAAACTCCCCTCTCCCCCTCACCCTCGGAAGACTATTAAGTGTGTAATTGACCTTCTTAAAAATTGAGCTTCCTAAAAATGTGTGAATGTATAGAATTGCTTCCTATTTTTAACTACATATGTGCATGCATTGCATGGTAGTCTTGAAAAGATACAGTCAAGGTGACATTGTAATTATATTTTTGTAGTGAAGCATTCTGATAATGTATGTTAAACACCTGCTAGAACTGCAGTCAGAACTGGAACAGACTACCAGTAAAAGACAATCAAAGTGTACCAAATGATTTTTTCCACTAGATTTATTTTAACACATACATAGTTATATGCATACAATATGGATGTGTGTATAAGTATCTTATTAAATAGTGCCGTTGTACTTAGATTTCATCTTCCTCTCTTCAGTATTCCTGGTGAAACCAGGAACATATGAACTCATTTTATGCAACAACCATGCAGCCAACTCCACCCAAGGGTTCTGGGTGAGGATATTTTCAGGTGTTGTATTGGATTTGTGGCATAATACAGACTTTCTCACATTACACTGAGTCAAGCTCTTCTAGGACAGATACAGTGTTAAATTGCCATAGCTGCATCCGTTTGTTTGTTGATTCATTCACTCTGAATAATATATTTTAAAACCTTGTGATAAGAATTGCAAAAAAAAATATTGAACAAAGTCCAGCCTGTAGGAGGTTGCTAGCACATTGTTTACTTCAACAAAATGTGCTAATTTGTAAACTCACTTTGCAGTTAGAAGCTGTTTTTTTTGATTTGGTGATAATCATCCTATCACATGATTTTATCAGGACACATGCACCCAGGATATATAGCATGTGCTTATGTCCCATTGACTTCAAAACAGAACTTCAGTGGAACTTAAGTAATTCATAGGCTTTCTGTCACCCCACTGTATAGGGGACAAAGTTCACATTTTATGAATGAGGCTCTATTTTTAACATTGAGGCAAAATGTGATTATAATTTGTAGCTGGATATTTCAGGACTTGGTGCTGGTGTCTCTTCCTCCAGTTGTCCATCACACACATTCCTATCATGTATTCAGTAATAAAACACATATATTGGAATATATTTTCCTTGTAGTACTTGAAGAGCTAAATTCACAGCATTTGTTAGCATCAAGAATTTTCACCCAAAGAATCACCAGGCTCCACTGACCAGGTGCATCAAATAGTAGCAGGTAGCGTTGGGTAAATTTTTAACTAGATAGTTTAGGAGACAGGCTCATGACTACAATTAACAAAAACAATGATGAATGGCAGCCACTGCAGCAGTTCTAGACATCTACATGAAACACAGAAATTGACTGTAAACAGCAATACCAGTAGGTTGCATTTGACAATGAAAGGCAGGTTTGAGTCTGAGGTCAGTCAATGGAAGTTCACTGTTTTTTCTTCCACAATATAAGTAGAATTTTTGAGAACACCAGGATGGAAATCGCAGAGGCTGCGAAGCACCAATTAAGGATGAATTGGATGCATACAACTCAGTAAAAAAAACCTTGAAAATTAGAGCCATCATAACAACTAAACATTCTTTCAATAGAATTTTCCAAAATATTTCTGATATGAATTCTTTCAAACCTTCCAGTGTTATGTCAAGGACTGCTCTGGATCTAAAGATGACTGTGTATGTGCGGGTATATATACATACTATTGTGTTGTTATTGGATGTGAGGTATCATGAGCTGCTAAATTCAACTAGAAACAGGCATGGTACTCTACATTTAGGACATGTTGAGGGCAGAAGTGGAGTTTGCATCATTGAAGTACACATTTCAATATCACTACTGGGTCCAGGGTAGTTCTGTGATCTCTTTTGACGAAGTCTTCAGTCATGTCAAATTATGGCAATTTGTTATAAAGGCTGTACAGATTCACCATATATGCATTAATATTTATACTGCAGTCTTACACAGAAAAGGTCAGGGTTTTGTTTGCCAGCCTACACAGCTGCCTCAAGGATATTTTATAGCTGTGCACGCTTCATTTTGCAGTGTAAAATAACACAATGCATCAGGAAAATTTATATTTACATATATAATATGCATGTGTATCTGTGCAATAGTGCAGTAGAGTTCTTGTTTTAATATCTGAAGGGAAGGGGATTAGAGGAAATGTTCAATAACTGTATACGTAAAAATTAAAAAATAAATCCATCACAGATACATTCTCCTCTCCCAGCAGGCTTAGCTGAGATCTAAGGAAAACTTTGGCAAAACCTGCTGCGATTTTCTTCTAGCACCTATGGAATTCCATAGACTATTAGTCATGGTTTTAAAATGGTTCAGTTTTTATCTGCTTTTTTTGTACATCTGCATTTTTGAAGAACA